TTCCCAGCTAGTGTACACGCCCCGACATAGCAACTTTGAGTCGTTCGTGCCGCGGTGTGAATGTCCTTTTGAACCCCTCTTTCCCCGCCTTTGGCGCGATCCCGATGTAGTGAACTTTACCTCCGTAGAACACATCGGTGCTGAGACGGTTAGAAGGACCCTCCGTTGTCTGCTATTTACTGTCAAGTAGATGATCCAATGAAGAGGATGACCTTAGGTCTTTTCAGCTTTATTGCATGAACCCAGTCATTTCTTTCTTCGGTGCAACGTACGTCGTCGTTGAGCGAAAGCCACCACGTGGGATCGTGCTCCTAATCAAGAGATTCTCTCCAAGTGTTGATGTTTTCCGCTTCATACACTTTTTACCCGTATTCACCCTACCAGATTACAGCGGCAAATCTACCTACACGCAGCGCCTGCTCAGGTCGCGGAATTATATCCTGCTAGGCCTATCAATCCTAGTCATCTTGGGGATTTATCGTGCCGGCTGCCTTTAAAGGCAGTTGGCACGATAAATCCCCAAGACGACTAGGATCAATACTCCTGGCAGGATAGAATTCCGCGACCCTGGGCAGGCGCTGCATAGCGGTTTCCCGAGGAAGGTGCCCTTATAAGGGCCCTATCAAGCCACAACTTTACGTCCCAAACGCCCGCCACGCCCGCCCGCCCACAAATGGACGACCGTTCCTGACGCTCGTATTCATTCATTTGCTAAGCAAATTATGAAGCGAAGGGATTGGTATGAAGCGGCCGTGATGCTGCATGCATACATGGGTACACATATGCAGCCGTATCTTCGGTAGCGGTGATTGGTAAGATGCCTACGGGAAACTCGTCCGAAATCGATTTACAAGTCACTGAGAACGGAGGCTTTTTCTTCGCAGGATTTTGACCGTTTCACTCCGTTCTTTCGCCATTTCCCCACTATACAGCCCTACTAGCATTTTAGGCTAAGTAGGAAACCATCGTGCCAACTGCCTTTAAGTGAGTACCATTTTGGTCAATTTGCTAGCGTGGCACCATTTAGAAAGCGCCTTCCGATGTTTCCGCAATTCTTATCTGCTGTAGGTATTAGGAAGGTGTTAAGCTCCATTCCATAAAGTCAACCCCGCCCCGTTTGTTATGCTTGCTCAGCGGCGACCTGTGATCTCTCTGTTTCCGCAGCTGGTCCATTGTGCCATTTAAAGCCACCTGTTTTCATAAAACACCTCTGAGCTATGATACTTTCATGCTTGTTTCAGTCCGCGTTTCTTCCACCGAGCACAGCCTTCACCTAAATAAATACATATTTCCTTCAATATCTACCGTATCCTCTGCCCTGACCATTTTTAGTTACTGCTAGTGGACTAATTCTAAAAGCCTGTTCAGGTGAACAAACGTCTCCTGCAGGACACAACTCAGCATAAGTCTACGCCAGAGTCCAGATGTTCCTCTTAGCTGGGGTTCTCCCTTTCCTGTTGGTAGCTGAAGCGGTGACACAGAACGCTTCGTTTTCTGGAGCTCAGGGCGTAATCTACTCACCCGGTTACCCTGATAACTACGCCAACCAACTCAACCAGTACTATACCATCACGGTGAGTCGATTTTGAAGTCGCATTACTGTCTGAAATGATATGAGATGGTACGACATGCTATGATGTAGAGACGCACAGTCCATATCCTAGAGTTGAGGAGGGCGTGGCTGCGTGCTCCATTGAAACATGGCGTGTGAAGAGTTTTCCGTGTTATATTTCCTTTAAGACAAGTGCCATCCTGTCTTGTGCTGGACAGAGACTTACAGTTGCTTCGAAACGGCAACATTCCATCAGAAGTGCACCGCCGGTAGAATCGGATAGAACACCCAGCAACGCCCTCCCTATGTGCGGGATATGGAGTATACAAGGTTTACGTGCTACTATGTGGATACCTTCGTTTGTCCTGGAGCTTGGGTGATAGTAAGCTGGGTTAGGCGCCTAGACTATCACTGCTGGTGTAGGAATGCCGTGGGTGTTATGCAGGAGTTACTCGAGCTGCGATGCGCGCACGAATGATTTTGCGTTGGGGGGGGGGGCGTTGCGTACGCCATTCGAAAGCCAGACTTTTATAGGTGGTGTTCTTGGCAGAGGAGCGTTGAAATCGGCGGAGGCCTCACAGGCGTTTATAGTTCTTGGCGTCGCTGCGGAACGCTTGTGGGTTCCAGAGGGGGGTTTCGCCTAGCCCAAGGCGGCCGGCGGGTGGGTCGTGGGGGGGGGGTGTTTTCTGCGTATCCTTCGGGCCGTCGTGCTGCGGAGTGGTTTGAGTAAAAATATGGCATCACTGTCTCCAGGCGCTGTGATGGGCCGACAATAGGCGATTGTAGAGAAAGGGTAGCTATGCATACTCTACCTATATCGTGACGGGGATGAATGAGTTACGATTGTCTTGAGCCGTCTTCCCCGAATGGTGGCCCCGAGGAGGGCGGAGCATAAAGAGGGTATAGGATGGGGCGCCGCCGCCAAGCTCCAGCCCCTCCTGCCCTTGATAGGCTCCAGGCGTCCGCAGCGAGGACCTGTAGCTGCGAGCCGCAAGTTGTCTCGAGGTTGGTTTCTGCTGGCCACCTCGACGCGGATCCTCTTGATTGAGAGTCTGTCCAGATGTTGCTTCACCTCCTTCTCCCTGCAAAATGACTAGGGTGTATGACCGGGTGGAGGGTAGGGCGGGGTGAGGGCGAGCCTTAGCGCGGATTTGGCCTTAGCAGTTGTAGGCAGGCACAGGTGCGATGGCCATCACTGTCGGGAAACGGCCGTCCCGCGGTTGCGCTTCCATGCGACGCATTTGCTTTTGCGCGGTTATATGATGCTGTTGGAACAGTGTGACACCTAAATTAAACCATGTCATCCGTACCCCTGGACTTTCACAGGCTCCTGATCCTGGCTATTTCGTTCACCTCACGCTCTATGACTTCGAGACTGAGGCTTGTTGTGACAAGCTGTACATCTGGGATGGAGCAGACACTTCAGCAGCCACGCTTGCTAAGTTAGTTACCACGATAGAATTCTTTGCTCCAGTTCGTTTCTCCCTTTAGACTTTAACCTGATCCTTTGGTCAAGCAAGATTTTTAGTGTGTCTGGAGATGCTACGGGAATGACATTCAGCTCTTCTGGATCTATAATGACATTACTATTTAATACCGATATCACTGGACAGGAGCGTGGATTTGCCATTCACTATGAAATGGTTCAAAGTTAGGAATTTTTTTTACGTAAAGTTCCAACAAACTCACTCAGTATCCTAATTTTCCAATGCACGCTTCGCAGCTGCTCGCGCCTCCCTATGGGTTTCTCATGGGGACGTGACGGGAGCTTCAATGAGTCAGGAACCGATGGATTAATTATGTTGTTGATCAGGTGTTGCTTTTTCAGAAGACACTCAGTACTCGGAGTCAAGCACATGTCAGTCGGGACTGTTCACATCGGGACTTGGGTTTGTGACGTCGCCCAATTGGCCATCCAATTACCCAAATGACATCACCTGCAACTACCTGATGACGATGCCTAAAGGGAGGTATGTCAACTTCAGAACTTTGAGCTGCAAAACCGGGTTATATTAACCTAATTTCTAAATCCTTATTAGACACCTGCCAATCATCCCTGGAAACGAAGGCGTATGGGCGTGGATTAGAGCGCAACCGGAGCGGCTCTTTCCACCAGTTGGTGCCATCGTGGGCCCACGAAATTGGTGGAAAGGTTTCTTTGGCTGCGACGCGCGCGACGCCGCTTGCAACGTTGTTGAATCGCCTACAACGTCGATGTAACGGCCCGCAGCCTACTGGATTAAAAGTCATTATATTGGTCAACAACAGTAACTTTCGGGCCCTCTCCTAAAAAAGCGTTCACATCTTGCCTTTAGTCTAACCCTGCCCCTTGAAACAAGTACTCATCGCTGTGTTCGTTCAGAGGACATTGGCGCTAGGGCTCGAAACCCCTCGATTGTCATGAGCGCTTTTAGGCGCACAACAGCTTGGTGGGGGTACCGACTGGTGCCCAGCGTAGGTTATATAGGCTACCCCGTAAAGTCCAATGAATGTCTGGGTGAGGACAATGTTGGCAGAAAGTAGCAAAAGGAAATAATGAGAGTGTAGAGTGTCTCACCCCCTCACTCCTCCTGAAGTGAGACAGCGTCCGAATTTCCATCTTTTAATAGTTTCCGGTTGAGAACTTCTTTGTAAGCAGGCTGGTGTTGACGTTTGTGGCGTTCTCGACAGAGGCATGCTGCGATAAAGTGGAAATCTACGACGGACCAAATGCCACCTATCCGAAGTTGGCTGTGTGAGTTTCTCGAACCTAGTAGATTTGTCTACCACACATTTCGCAAAGGGCACAATAGCTGGGGGCGGACGGTACTCCCAACGTCACTAGTCGATGA